CATGGATGATGAGGAATTCAAGTGGGTTATTAAGTGATTTTGAAGATGCTTATGAGTCTTTCGTCTAAGGTTTAGCAACAATGAGACTCTATCGAAGGATCTCTAGTGTTTTCCTCAGTTGTAAGTAATAAGAGAAGATTTTCTTCTAGTATAATATTGCTTATCAGCGTGATTGTCTTTAAAATTATTATTTTGACTTCAAAATATTATAAATATCTTTATCATTTAAAACTCTAAAAATACTAACATTTTCTTATATTTAGATTTATTTTTACAAAAATTTTAGTTCAATAACATATTAACCAGCAACATAATTGAATATGCAACATATCATAAAATTGTATTAACCAGCAACATAATTGAATATGCAACATATCACAAAATGTAGAGAGAGAGAGAGATTAGATCTACCAGAACCGCACGTGGGCGGGCCCGGGCCTGCGTTCTGTTGACGTAGGGAGAGGCGCGCACGAGCCCTGCTGGGTACGATAGCGGACTGGGTCGCAGCCCACGTACGAGGCGGTTTTGTGACGGGCCTTTGGGGCCGGCCCGTACTGACAAACCGTGGCAGAGAATCAAAATTTTTGGAATTATATAGTCTGGATTTAAATTAGAACAAGTATATTCATTTAAATGATTATATTATACTAATTATTTGATTAGTTATATATAATACTCATTTGAAAGTAAATTTAATAATTAAACAGTTTTTTTCTAATAATAATTATGCTTTAACGATCCAAAACTTCTCCCTTTCAAAGTAAAGACTTGTCCTAATTTAAATTATTTGGTTGTTTGACATTAAAAAAACAGAGAATAAAATTAGAAAAAAATAATTTAAGTCAATTTATTTATTATATGTTTTTAAAAATTTATAATTTAAAATTAAATTTGATCTGAAATTAAGTCCAATTAAAAGTTATATCAACATATGAGCTATTTTTTAGAGATAGAGAGATAGATATTGATGGTTCACATTTATAGGATTATATTTTGCTAAATTATAGTCATATTTTAGTTTTGATGATATTATATCAATAAGCATGTTAATTTAATTATATCAATAACTATTTTATTTTTAATAAAAAAATACATTTTTGTATGATCATTATTATATTCTTCAACATACAACTTAGGCTTAAAATTTACATAAAAAAAAACATAGACATACTAAACTTCGATATTTAGATGCATGGCACCAAAATGTTTACATTACAAAATAAAAAATGCTATTATTAACTTTTTAACAATCAAATGCATCTTTTCGTGCATAAATTTTGACATCAAAATATTATAAATGTAAATATCAAATTTTATGTGTTTTTCCAATAAAGTTGAGCTCAAAATGTATCATTATAATTTGAACTCATGACATGAAAATGAGAAATTAGACTCTCAACCGCCATGTCACGAGTGATCTACAAACAATTTAAATACATAAGACTTATTGATATTTATTTAAAATGTAAAAAACCTTTATTTTATTGAATCTAAATCTATAGTGTGAGTTATACCCAAAGATCAAAACGGTGGGACTAGAGATGAGTGATTGAGAGATCACCAACAGATTCGCCTCATCGGGGCTAACTAAGGTATTCTTGGGCTCTATGACCCATTTTATATATTAAAAATAAAGAGATCACGGAGATGAGGAGGAGAGAGGCGCTCCTTCTGAAGTATGAGTCGATATTCTAAAGCAAAAAAAGCCTCTGTTACTAGTGTTGAACTCTCTATTTTTAGAAGATAGAAGAGACACTAAAATAAGAAATTATCTTTCAGTCCCTGCTTTAATGAGGAGGTTGCAGACAAGTCATAGATGACCATCCCACTACCTAAGGAGATGGTCAGTCGGTCTTTTGTTAGCAGAGGCCAGGAATAGACAGCAAATTGGGAGATCGCGCTTCAACTAATTAACTTGAGAACTATATATCTTCATATTTTTCGTCATACACGTTTGTCGGCTATTGATTGGCCAAGATAATTCTTGGTTGGTCGACCTTAGGCCACCGCTCACGACATGAGTTTTCGAGCCGAACATTTTACTATTCATTTGGGATTTGAATTTCACACATGTCTATTTAATTTTTCACGAGAAATGAGCATGAATTTGGGTGCATTTATTGATTTAATTAATTACAAACTTTAAACACAAGCCCGCCTAATGTCTGACTGTAAGTACCAAAAAAACAATTCAGAAAGCCCCAAAAAAACGAGCAAAAATCCCACCTTTCAAAACCCTAAACCTTTTGTCTCCTATCTCTCTCCCCCTCCCATGGCGACCATAATCTCTGCCATCCTTCTCTTCTCCTTCTTCCCCTCCCCATCCTTCTCCGCCCCGATCGATGATAAATGGAGCTTAGCAACCGCAACATACACCAGAACCCCCTTCCAGGCCGGAGGAGGAGCGTGCGGCTACACCTTAGAAGCAGAGGACCGGCCGGAATGGATGTCGGAATTGGGGCGGAACACGGCGGCGCTGAGCGGCGAACTTTTCCGGCGAGGAGAGGTTTTCGGTTCCTGGTTCGAACTCCGATGCGTCGATCACATACTCTTCTGTCTCCGAGGAAGCCCTTCCGTTACCGTCACCGCCGTCGATTTCTGCGCGCCTAACTACGGCCTCCCCTCCGTCGACGGCGGGGGGGGCAAATTTCCCCCGCACCACCTCGACCCCTCTCTT